GTAGGTATTGGGGCGGTTTGGACCGACGGACGCCCGAGACGCCTGGCGTCGGGACGCCCGCTTGTGGCCTTCGGTAGTGCGCGATCGCGGGTCGCTCGGTCCCGATCGGCAGGTAGGTACAAAGGCGTCGGGACTTGATATTGGCGTAAGGTAAATTTATAAACATAAGACAATTAATTCATCATAATTAACATATATCCGGCACATGATTATTTATTTATTATTATTACAGGTAACAGACTAATATTTTAAGAATTGAAGACAGTTATTTATTCTTAATAATTTTATAGCTACCCACATTACGCCGGACTATATACGAATATACGTTGACAATTATTTTTAGATAACTGGATAAAAAAATGGCCATAATCCTGTTTATCAAGATTTCAGGTAAGTATTGTAACTATCTAGCTCACCTTCATGAAATTGTAAAATTTCTTCAAAAAAAACTGCATAGAATCGATAATTGTTTGACTAGAGAAAGGTATAATATATTATATACAGATCGACAAACAAGGAAAATCGTTAAATGGACTATTAATGTGCTCGACAAATAAGTAATACACAAAATGTAGAGGAGGCCGAGGAGGGTATTACAAGTATTTATGTACCAAAGCCTGTGTATCCTGTGACGTTGCCATAATTGTTTTTATTAGTCTGTCTATACATTTCACATTACAGATTTAGTGTTCCTGAGATATATTTCTATGTCAAAACGGTAAGAAGTGTTTGAGGGGCCTTACTAATTAAAAAATATTTGCCTGTAATTGACAAAGCCCAGAGGTATATTTTATATTACCTACTTAATTTTAACACATCGTTTTCATTATTAGCATACTTTAGAAATGCAATAAAAAACTGCAAGTTTCAAATAAGAAACGAAAATATATGAACATCTTAACAATAATGGAAAAATAGGCACCGCCCGCACATAATTGTAGTCAAGCGAAAATACATTGGGATCATTTACCGTAGGTCAAGTTGATGTTGCCCCCCTATAATCAGATCAAAATTTGGGAACATTATATCGGTCGTAAATAAATCTATATGGCTCTGTACATCGCGTGTATGGTAAAATAGTTATATGTGTAGTGACAGTATATACACATACAAACTCTGAAACCGAAACGACCTTTCTATATGTTCTTTGCCTTTGTTCTATTAAAAATATGTATTGGAACAATATATATTAGCTAAACAATTCAATTATCGCCGAGATCCCGCAGCAAGGAATTAAAAAGTTATTTTTATAGGTATCCATTCCCTACAACTAATATTAATAACTGCTAGTTGGCAGAACATATCAAATTCATACAAAAACAAAATAATTTGCCACTTATAAAACGTAAGGAGGTATGATACTTTTAAGCGATTATCAATAGCGCACAAACATTTGAAAATACAGCTGAATATATTCGTGTCTATCAGCCCGATGCACCTCTTAATATTATGTGTACCTAGGTACTTCTATAAATATTCACATTTTGTTCAAAGTCTATTTTTATTTATTTAAAATTGTTATTTATATAATGCCGACCAAAACTAAAAATATGATGGAATATTTTATGTATCTATTTCACGATGGATTATTTATATGAGAAAAAGTAAAGTTAATCATTTAAACTGTACATTTAGACAACCCTAGCAGAGTTTCCTCTATAATCAAGTCTTAAGATAAACATTTGGGATCAAAATTATTTCGAATACAAATAAAACTATATGTTTTTAAAACAAATAACATTTTTTAGACAAGGCCAGCACTTTCATATAAACTCTAGTTCCTATACGACACTAGGCTCTTGCCTCAAGTATAATTTTACTTAACGTTTCCCTTACGACAAAATTTCCATCGTAGATGGATACTTATGGATGGATTATACTTCAGGTGTCTCTTTATTAAAAAATGTAATGGAATATATGTTATCCGATAATTATCCTGATAATTAAACGAGGTGTACTCGCATATCTAGGATACAAGTTTGGTAGAAATATGAGAATAATAGCGAAATGATTTATTTAGTCATTTTAGGATACCGATCTGTACACGTTTAAGGCAGATACGCAAGGACATAATTTCACAACGCATTGATAACATTTATCAATTTATCAGTTATCACTACCAGCAAAGGCTTCTTAGAGGTAATGACACTAGCACTTTTTACTGTTAACTTATAAAAATGCACATGTATACCCAATATATGTTATATGATGCTGTGCTACTATTGTTATATTACTGTAATAGAAACGATCAAGATGTCTCCAAAATTTGTATTTACATTTAAACATACACTAAATGCAATTGGTTGCGGAATGTCCAGTTTAATTAATATACATATATAGCCAATAGAGGCATACTCTCACATATAATTAATAATGAATCACCTACTTTGTGTTATGTTATCATATTAGATAACATACCTATATCACATTTACCGCAACAGTGCCCCAAAATTATTAATTTTAAATAGTAAAATTTATAATAGGGAATATAGAGACGGCCATTGATTAATCAATAATACTATAAAAATCGATGTGGAATTATTTTACTTGAGTACCCCTCAAGTAAAATACGATGACTAAACACCTGTACAATTTACATTACATTTTTAAAATATCTATTTAAGTACATGCATTTAATAACATCTGTAAATAGCATAATAAAATAGAACAGTATGTTATGGGAGGCAAGAAAATAGATGTTACTTTATTATTTTTTAGTAGTTACTTATCTACTCTGTTCTTTCCGTCATTACGTAAATTTTTCATTATACTGACTACAATATTATTGACATTTATAGTAAAATTTTCTATAATAATATACCCAAAATGTGGTTATCGTTGCTACAAATAACAATTTAGTTGCATCCTTTGTTTTCTAATCAGACTTGTATCAGCTTGTTACTGGGTACACGCCTATGCGGTCTTATAGAATATGGGTAGTAGCGGTGAGGAGTATCCCTTTCTGAATCTTCGAACTGTGCCCATCTATTGGGTACGGGCATTTTTTGCGTTTTTATCTCATATTTGTTTCAATTTACAATAGCGCGACTGCGGTCAAGAGTTGTTAGAAATGTTAATCACTTGTTCATTCATTCAAACGGCGGCTAATTTCGGAAAGTTCAGTTTTAATTATTTATTATATGTATATACTTATAGCATTTGCTTATATACACTTATTCTCACATATATGGTTAATAGTTAATATTAATCAAGTGTTGTGGTCTGTTGCAAAACGCGCTATTAGACAAGATCACATTTACCACAACAACAAAACCCCAAAATTGTTAATTTTAGCATCATTCATAAAAAACCACAAAAATACCCCCGTACCGTAATAATCGACACCGTTCAAAGACATATGTATACCTTGTATCTACTTATTGCCCCCCAGTAAGAGATAAATTGTTGAGAGAGAAAATATTTTCTCATTAATGCATGGCGGTTCAGAGAAAACATATTTTTATTCCTAAACCGATAATATTAATAAAGAGAAATTAGCATTATGGGTTGAAATTATTGATAAAATAATATATATAACGCCGACATGGGGTGGACCACCACATGAAAAAAAAACGGATTTGATAGGAACAAGTTCATTCAGTAAATAGTAAAAATTTGAAAAGGGAGAATTTCAGAGATAACCACTGTTTAATCAATTACATGATAAAATGGATATGGACAAGATCTATTTCTTACTTTAGTTCAGAAATATATTGTTTCAAATACAATGACTAAATATTATTTATAGTATTATTTTGTCTACCTAATGTATAGGTAGATTAAATTTACTAATGTTTTAAAATAATATCTGTAAATAGCATAACAGAACAGTATGTTAATGGAGACAAGAGACAACAAAATAGATGCTAGTTTATTATTATTTTTTAGTAGATACACTGTTTCTCTGTCATTAGTAAACTTTTCATTATGTTGACTCCAATAAATTACTATTGTGGTGAAATATTACATTTTCTTTAATAATATTCGCAAAATGTGGTTGTCGCTGCTACAAGTGCAATCCCGAGATTGATGCCTGGAGAAATAATATTTGTGTAAAGGAGCTATATATGAGTATATAAGATGTATTCATGTGAGTAGATAGCAAATAAAAAGTTCACTACTTATTTACACTGTATGTCAGATAGAGCCATTTTGTGTGCATATTAGTTTTAATATAGTTGCCTCGTTAATTGCAACCGAAGATTTCTATAGGCAGGTTCACTAACAAATTATTAATTTTTAGAAGTATATTTGTTGTAGCTGTTGGTAGTAATCGTCCAAAATGACATTACAACTATTAGGAGCAATAATGAAAGATAATTTAATTGAAAGCTTGCAATGGTATTTAATAATTTCATTGTATCGAGTACTTTTCCTAGTTTTATTTATTAAATTCTTATTTTGAATTTAGATTAATGACCAACTCGTTTATGGAGTTATTATCGGCATCCTAATATCTGAAATTAAATGTATAAATGACCTCTTTGGATCAAGCTAAAGGAAATAAAATAATTGGATTAACGTAACTACAAGTGATATTGAACATGTGTAATTTAAGTAACAGTATACTTATTCCATTGCATTTTTGAGAATATTTGAAGTAAATTTTAAATAGGGATAACTTTTTATTATGCAACGTGAATATAGGGTGATAAAAAAAACAAATAGTTCAAAACATTTGAAGTAAATTTATTACATCCATGATTAGAGCAATTAATAATAATAAAAATATTAGTATTATTACGGTTTTAAACTTAACAGACTATATAATTTTAGATACTATTCTAACATCCGCTACATGTTATCCTAAAATAAAGTTTTTGAATTTTTTGTCTTATAAATACTAAAGACGTAATAATAAAAATACATTTTAAACAACTTAATTAAATTCTCTACATAACTATACCTAATAAAAATTCATAATTGATACAGTAAAATTATAGAAAAACGTTATTCTAAATATTTTTTATAATAAGTTTACTTTATTGCTAAAAATATTATTATTGAGACCTTAGTTTTTTGTAGCCGTATGGAACTGAGCTATGGTCTTCTTGAAACAATCTTTTTGTTGAATTTGGACGGTATAGTTTGGTTTCCTCTCGAGTTATAATTTCGTGCTCCTTTGTTCTTCTTATACTGCTTGAAGTTATGTACACAGGCTCAGATGGTTTGAGGACCATATTCTTTATCATTTCAAAATTTACTATTTGAGAAGCTGCATATGTAAGCGAAATACCCTTAACTTTACACACGATTTTCTCTTCCTGGTCCTTGGTTGAAAAAATTTTATAGGCATAATTTTTGGGCCCACCACTTGCAAATTCTGTTATGTACGATCCAGAACCATACGACTCTAATTCATCAGTTAAATCACCAACGAATTTACCTACTGGAGGTTCATATTCTTCTTCTGCATAAGTAAAAATAATCGAGTCTGTATCATAATACAACACCCTCTTTCCCAATTGCTCCAAGTAACTGTACAATTTTAACCTTGCCTGTGCAGTTGTGTAAGCAGCTATACATACGTTAACGGTGGCGAGAGGGTCAGAAGCTTCTTGTTTGAATTCCCAATTAATTATTAGGGTATTCTCATTTATAGGAAGTGCGTGGTACACGTCTATGGAGGGATTCGTCAACATATCGAAGAACTCTTTAGGTGTGTTTACTATTGTTGTTTTCGTTTGATTTTCTTTTTGACCAAACTTCCCCCAGAAAGAATTAAGAATTAATTTGGACAGTGACCGAAGACCTGGATTTTCGCAGATTTCGTTAAACTCCAGTTGCACGTCTTCTCGCGCCAAGAATTCTTCAATATATTTGTTACGAGCTTCTATTGTACTACACGTTTTCGGCCATCCTGAAGCTTGTTGTTTTGTTTTTATAAATTCATTCATCATGGCAGTGAACAGTCCTTCAGTTTTTGTTGTTGTATCAAATTTTTGCATCTGATAACTCCAGACTTCATGTATCTCTACCAATGTGTAACCCTTTTCCACAGCTTTAAGCACTTCGTCAATTACCCACGTCCCAGTTATGGCTCTTTCATCATCTCCATGATCGCATATGCTTTTTGTCATTTGTTCCCCACAGATACGACAAAGTATAAACATAAGTTTATTATTTATCTTTTGCGGCAGAACCGGATGATATAAATCTTGAGGCGGTAGAATCTTGCATTTTATAAGGCCATCTACCTTTTTCATGTCTAGAGCGTTACACTCTTCACCGATATAAACCTGCGGATGGCCTATGGGAAATTTACCATACTTGCATACCCAAGGGTATAGAGAACATACATCTAGATATTTAATTATTTCGCCTTGCTTAGCTTTATAATATTCAAAAGTATTTCCTGTTCTACCGCCATAAAAAGCATCTCGTGGATTTAATGGGGCATTTATAAGTAAAGGGTGCTTTTCAGTGTATAGATCGATTTCTTTGTTATCTTTTATGACCTTTCGGAAATCACATTCCCACATTTCGATAACGTCGTACCCTAGATTTCTTAAACGGTCTGTTTTGGCTGTTGTGCTTTCGAGTCGTCTTTCTAATGTATCTGATGGGTCTTCATGTGTGGGATTGTTTCTATTATATTTGAAACAATGTGTACATCCGTGGTAATAACACCCATGAAACTCAAAAACATGATTTGTTTCACTGCAGTAACCATCAACTTTAACCCCTCCCAACACAATTTCTTTTCCTTTAGCAGCATGTTGAATGTTTATGTTTCTCTGCTTTTCTTCCCACACCAACCATTGAATGGCTATCCTACTCTGGTTATCCCGCCATCTGTACCCATTCTTAGGAATAATTCCTATAGTGTTAGGGCGGAGGAAGTTGCGACGAAACACTTTATTGCAGGCCGACGCTATGGTACATGCTTCGGTAAAGGGGCACACGTTACTGGTTTCCAAAAGCTGATGACGGAACTTTAAACATGCTGAAGTCAGTATTTCTACGTCTGATATACAGTACTCGACAATCTCTTTCTGAAAATCAAAAATGTATTTTTCATTAACTTTTTCTGAATGCCAAGTAATCAAATCGTGTCTATTACTCTCCATCAAGTCGTCGGGGCTGTAGAACTGGAGATCAGGCATTGGACCTTTATAATTTTGATTTGACGACGTGTTAAATAGATGCGGGAAGTAACCCTTCTTTAGCTGGGTCAATCCAAACGCTTTAGGAAGTTTAGACAAAGCCATAGGGAAATAGTTAATTGAGTCTAAAAATTTCACATTTCCCACTTCCATTAAAATCAGCTTTGTACCACGTGTAATTAACTCAGGGGTAAGGTTCGTCTTAGTCAAGATATGGTTTAAAATAAACTGATGATCGAAATTCCCTCCATTGTGTGCTAGGACTACTACTTGCTTGAATAGTTTTCTTTGATTAAGCAGAAACTCCACAAATCTTGTAATAGGGTCTATTTTCAACACGTGTAAGCGAACACCACATTTTGTACAGGTATTTTGTTGTGTATTCATACAAACATCACAACACTGTTTGAATACACACAGGTTAGGTTCATGAAGGAGGGAACCATCATCTTGCTGCTTTTCCTGTTTAGTTTCCAGATCGTAAAAAATAAAAAGTGTGTCGATAGTTTTAGGTTTATTTTTGTCTGATTGAATGAAGCAAAGGTGGTCTTGGGGTACATGTGCGTTACATATTTTACAGAATATTTCACCACAACGATGTTTTCTATCTGTTTTCAGGGTTTTCAAGCACTTCTCACAATAAGTAATTTGCTCGCACACTGTACTCTTCCCAAGCGATCCAGATTTTCTATGATTTTCGTAACAATTTTGACCACGGAAAGATCTTTTGCAACAGTCGCACACCACTTTTAGCGCTGGCGGACAAGCAGGCGTTTGCTGACAACATACACATGTACCTCCGCATCTGTGATCATTTTTATTATTGTACGGTACATAACATCTCTCACAGTAATAACTACAACAAAAAGCGGCAGTCAATGAAGTTATTACGTTATAATGACCCTCATGATGGATTAAATTAAGAGCAAGTCCTTCATCATTATTGGCGAATATCACCTCACGGCCTTTATTTCCATAGCTGTAGACTACTATTTTGTAGCCAGAAAGGTGTTTCTGAAGTGCTTGCAGCTCCGGTATACCAGCCCCCTCATCAGGAATTGACACACCAGCTTTTCGACAAAGCTCTAAAGCTCTCTGTGTTTGGATTTTTCCGATATCTCTACGAACTTTTCTATATTCAAAGTCCTTGTCGATATAACTCTTTGCAACCACCAATGCACGGGGTAAGCATAAATTGTCTCTATTGTTTATTTTCACAATTCCTTTCCTTAATGCGCATTCTTCTTCGAAGTTATTGTATTTATGGGAGCGATTTTTTCCGCGACCGACAGGCATTTTCACAGTAGTCACTCCTAGGCAGAAAGTTTCTGTGTCAAGCCCCGTAGAATTTGATTGATATATACTGCTTATTATATCCCATACATCGCCGTAAGTAACCTGTTCTACAGGTCTGAAGCGGACCCAACCCTGCCCCCTTTTAAAATCCTTGGAGCAGAAGGAAAACGCCACCTGGTCTCCGGAACCGAGGTCTTCTATACCTTTTGCAATGACCTGGTTAACAGCTTCCTCGATCCATGCTATGGGTTCTTTATCCGCCGCTACGGGTTTAATTTTAAATTCCAAAGTCCGACCCATCAAATTGAAGCGACGCACTTTCTTGAGAATGTCTTTAACAATGACAAATTTTTCCATTTTCCTAAACGTTGATTCCCAAAAAACGTTTCTTACTATAAATTGTCGTAAACTGCTAAGAAAGTGGTAGAACGCTGCTTTTCATAAATTTTGTAAGAACCTGAAAACGATGGAATTTATTAATGCCATGAATTTAAAATATGAATAAAAATAAAGACAGTACCTCTACAGGATTTTCAGCACCAAAGCATCACCCGCTTTTATCTTTACAAGCAATTCTAAGAACACAAACTTTTGTAAAATAACACAAAATTGACAATAAAAGTATATTTTCCTTAAATGGGGAAATATTTTACCAATTTATACTACTGCTCTAGTAATAACACGTACAACGTACACCAATAGACTAAATATTTCCAATTCAAGGATTCCTATTTATACCTTTTGGCGAACTGAAAGTTTCTTGTTATTCTAAAAAGGCCCCTTAAACTACAACTCGTAATTTGCTAATGATTTATATAAAAACTTGACAGTTTCAAATAGATTTCCATTTAAATGCATACATGTGAAGACACAAATTTTATGTGAAGAAGTAATATTTAAAAGACTATTTCAAAATTTCATATGGCCCAAAAGACTCCCTAGAACTCGTAATTTGTTTGTTATTTACATAAAGACGATGCATTCTTCACATATTTAGTTTTCCATTTAAATACATGGATATAGACACAAATTTCATGAAGAAATAATATTTAGAAGACATAACTTTCCACATCCAAAAAGGTCCCCTAGAACTCGTAATTTGTTCGTTATTTACATAAAGACAATATATTTTTTACAAAAATAGGCAGTTTGAACCAGTTTTCCATTTAAATGCATATACGTGAAGACACAAATTTTATGTAGAAATAATATTTAATTGTACTAATTAATTGTAAACTTGCTCTGTTCAGCAAAAAGGTTCGTAAAATTAAAAATGTATCCGTCGTTACTTAAAAAATTTCTATTTTTTGTACAAGTTGGAGGAACTAAAATAATTCTCCATTAAATACACCAAAATTAAGGCCCAAATTATATCATGAAAGGAAACGATATAGCCTCTAGAAATAAAATGTAAATTTTATTATAATAGTGAAAAATTTGTAGTTTTATTTCATATACGATTTTAACTTAAAAACTATAGACTTTTGCTAGCGTAGGCACATTCTATTAATTTTCGTACATGTTTATATTTAACAACAATAAAGTAATTTGTTCATGCAGCCGAATTGGTTAAAATAGACAAGAAAGATGAACAATATTGGATGTAATTAATTATAATTGTATTGACTTACTGATCTTGTAGCTGGATATCCCTTTTGCAATATTGATTGAATTTAACAGTGCCGACTAATGATTATACATTTTTGTACTATTTTTCAAGTAATAAATTCATCATTGCTAGTTTTAATGTATTACTATTAGTATCGATGTAGTTAGTTATTATTACATTGGGGGCTGCAATGAAATGTAGTTAGTTATTTGTTATTTTTATATAAATTTGTATTTCACCTCAAAAAGACTCGTAAATAATGTTTGCTTTTTTAATATGAGAGTATATAATTTCAAAAGAGAATCTCGTAATTATTTTATTTAAATATCGCTATACTTTCTTCGTTGGTTTACGTGAGGATATTTTTAATCTATTTGGATATTCACGATTTTCATGCTTATTTTGATGATAATTTGTTCGTTAAATGGGGCTATATTATTATTAACATGAGCAGTTTTTAGCCAAATTATTTACTGAAAAATATGGTCGCTGTTTTCATTATTATCTATTATAAACATTAAAAACGGAATTGTATGTCATGCTATTATTTTCCAATTGAAGCACATAAATGATTATTAAAATTATAGATGATAGTTAGAAATTCTATTTTATTTTGAATATTTGGTTAAACAATTATAATAAATAAAATTTAATGTCAACTTTTTTCTGTTTCATATACCCATAAACATTTTCAAATCCATAGTGAATATATTCTTAATATAATTTACTTGTGCTACATCGAAATATTTCTGATTATTGTAGAAAAACTTCAAAATTACTAAATAACAGACAAAAATTAATGGTTGGATTGAGGTCGGTGGTATAAATACATATACGTTTAAGGAACAAATTATCAAAATTCGGAACCAGTAAATCAAAAATGATCGAGTAACAAATACAAATTAATAGTTACACAAAGAAAAACACATTACTAGTTTACATGTAGAAAACCATACCTCCAAAACGCGAGTTGGATCTTAAAAAAGGGGTAGTTATATCGTGGGTGACGAACAAGTGGATAAAACTGACTCGAACTAACATGTTATAATTGGAAACTGAAATGCAATCCTAAGATGTTGTGTCGTATACATATAATTAAGAATAGTTACATATGATTTTATTTTCCCAGTTCAATTATTTTTCCCCAATGTGATAAAAAAATAAATCAAACAATTTTAGCAGAATGTTATAAGCAGTATCAACTACTCGGTGTACTGTGGTAATTTGAATTACTTAAATTATGAGAGGCTGACTTTCGAATGAACTTCCTATTTGAAACAGAAGGAATTGTTTGTCCTACATATTTTATTTTTCATTTTCAAAGCATTTTCCCTGTTGTATTTTATTATTATGTACGATAAATTAATAGACTTTGTTAACAAAAATAAATAGTTAAAACCTTTTGATTCTTCCAGTTATTGCAACTGACAAGTATTATTTAAATAAATCTACACAACTGGTAAAAAAATCGGATAAATACAGAAAAATCGCAGCTTTCAAAGTTTCTTATTGATTTTGAAATGATTAATGTTTAAAACATTGATTGTATTAAACAATATTCTTGTTTATAATGTTTTTTTGGCTATCAAAGCAAAAATTTAAATATAAATAATTCTAGCGCCTAAAACGCAAATTTTTCATAAATTTATTGATCTTGTTCACCATATGACATAGAAACAACCATAACAAAATATTTCCGGTGGAAATATTATATGTAGTATAGGTACATACATACATGTAGTAAAATCAAAATACATCATGTCCCTTATTTTAACATAAACTCTGAAATATCTATATATTTGCATAAGTGAAATGGATATTGGTCTTATTAAAACATTATTATACCTATATTTGAAAGTTACCTATGATGTCCTAATATATGTATATCGTTCGCCAACTTAATAGAAGTTAAAACAATGCAGTTAAATAGTTTCAAAAATAAAATCTTTCAAATGTCATAAACGTTATTCGTAACATTTACGTAGACGAATTATATCTGTTCCTTTTACGCTGTCACGCGATACTCATATATTCTACATTAAATATATTCACAGCATAATTGTTATAAACATTTACTTCAAATTGTTACGTTCTAAACTTTATATTTCTAATATATGTTGATATATGGGATATATACGTATGATAGTATATCAAGTGGTAAAACTAAGCTTTATGGAAGTAGAGAACTACAAACATTGCAACTATGTATATTAACAGACACAAAAATTTGTATTTTTAGATTATTCTGTAGCATGCATGCAATCTGTAAAATTATTATACATTTTTAAATGAGACAGTTGCTAAAAATCGTACCAGCGTTTCTCTAGCAGTTAAAAATCATCTTTATCTCATATTATTCTCAGATTATGTGGTTAGTTTTACACATACTTTAGCCATAGTGAAGCCATAAATTTTGGTATCTGATTTCTTCAAAGTAATATGAAGTTCATTTTTGCCTCTAGTCTTTTGTTTACTCTCATGAATTTATTTAATATATCTTATTCATATATAGACATCTCAGTCAAAAAACATATTCATATTTGTATTGAAAATAATTAATTTGTATCTATACTTTATTATTATAGCATAGGAGTATTTGTAATTCTTATGAAAAAAAACTTCAAAAGGGGATTTATCTTTAAAGGGATTTATATATAGCACGTCGCTATGACTTTAAATGTAATGCTTACCATAGAGCATGTTCTTATAAAATTACCAAAAAGTAAATATCTGATTAACTTAATGGCTGCTATACAAAGATTTGTTTACCACCATACACCAGCGAGTCTTTGTAGCGCAAAATAAATATTAACGGTATGATGTATACAGTTACGATACAATTTCTGCAAAAATATTGAATAAAGTTATACTAATACAATACAACCGAATGGTATGATGGAATTAATTTTATATCGATGACGTATGACATGTGATATTTACTCTTGTTTATGACATTTATTTTAAAATAAATTAGCTTATTTTGCTATGGTTTTTATCTCAAAGATTCATATCGTTATGACACCCTTTCTAGGACAAACAAACGCGATGTTTGTATTCAATATACAAAAAGATTTTCGACCATACATTGGTAAAAAGTATTTAATTTTCGATTAACTAGAATCAAAAAGTTCTTTGTCGTTACAGTCGTATTAAATGCTCAAAATCATCAAATAAGGCTTTATATTATTCTATACTATGTATACATCGAAACATTAATATAGTTGTATTTGATAATAATTGCTTGTTACTACTAAAACCTATTGCGAACTTTCATGACTATTAGTTTAGAGTTAACTACATCTTTAGGTCTAAAAATATCCTAACTACAAATTACTTTTAAAGATCTAAATAACAGCATTAAATATCTCAAGAGATGCGAGATATTTACAGAATGTGAAACATACAATTAACCTAATTTTGAACTTGTAACTTATTGTAAGGGTATTTCCCTGATGTGAGATTATAAAAGATATAGTGATTATATATTTTTAATACTTCTCTACTCAAATTTCGACAGTCTTTTAAAATGGAAAATAGGCAGGTGTTCCTAGAATAAATGCATATATTTACTATAAGTCAAATAGAAATTTTGTAAGTAATTTTTAAAATTTAATGGAATGCAAAAATAATATAGATACTAGAAACACGGATGTGAATTCACTCTGTGGGAATAAAAATACATAGTTATTTGTGCCTGAGTCTATTTAACCAGCAAAATGACTTACCTGTGTAAAGTATGAAGGTGCAA